GAAACAAAGAACAGTAAATAAAGAAGTAAAGTAGACAATTATCTCTTCTAGTTACAACCTTTGTACTCGGTTGCTGCTTGATGTAGGTTGCTAAGCCTTTAAAAGTTTTGCATATGGAGGATATGAAACAAAATATTTTTTTTAGGTTTTATATATACTTTTGAATAAGTAAAAAATCCTAAATTACTACATCAATACCATAAAATTCTACTATAATTTTTCAAACTTAGTAATTTCGAATAAACTAAAGACACAATCTACCTCATTGAAATCCTGGTTTAAAAGAAATAAATGGCACTAGGTATGTTAGAAAGGCTGAGAAAACCACTAGTGGGACATTTTGAGCTTCCGATTGGTTATTCATGTCGTATATAAAAGTAAGTGTATATACGGGAGCGTTTCCAAAAATGGAAGGAGGTGAGCGGAGTGCCACTATGTTTGATTTATTACGTGAGCAATATTTTAGCAAGTAGAAAAGATAAGACCATCTAGCTTGTCAATATCTGTAATTTGAGTTTCTAATTCGTGTGAAACTATAGACTTAGTATTTTGACTTCTCAAACATCTAATTTGAACCAGTGCTGCATTAAACATGTCATGTGACACACAAAAATCAATGTTTATCTGTATTTGTTTAATATTTACTGTTAAAGTATCAAATTAAGTAATGTATAGTTCTAAAATTTGAATTATAATCTACAGTTTGATACCAAACTTATTGACGTAAATTCATGAAATAGTAGGTCAATAAAATTTTGAATGCGAGTCAACAAACACGATGACATAGCCTTTCACTTGTGACCCATCTTGAAAAGGTTAAACAAAAACATAACTGTGTTTAAATCCAGCCTCTCTACACATTCACTACAGTCTGGTATCAGTGATGACATGAGATAATGATCATTTCTGCAGCAACTCATTGCTATGCTGCATAAAATAAAATACACTGGCAAGAAAGGCAAACTCATTTTAATCAACTGAATAAAAAAAAATTATATACAAGGGCTTTAAAAAAAATCGAAGTTTTATTTATATACAACAAAATTCACCAAATGCATTATATACTTTTAAACCTCCATTGCATGGCATCAACTCTTCTTAAGTCTGTATCATAGTTTTAGTGTACTATAAATACCTGCAGCAATCTTTTATTAAAGCTAGCTAAATTTCCTATTATAGTAAGTCTTTGAGACATGGGTTGGTCCTGTTGTAGAGTTCTGGATCTACGAGCTGTTGAGGTGATTCACAATTTTTATTATACCAAGTTTGTGAGACATGAGTTGCCCTGTGGTGGAGATCTGGATTTAGGAGCTGGTGAGATGGGTTCTGATCTATGCAATACTGCAAAATATTCCCAACACTTTAAGCCAACTGTGGTTAAATTATAAGAGTGTCAATCCCTTAGCATAAGTTGTGGGTGATAGTATCTGCTGGCTGGCTACCTTCTCTCTGGTCAGTTATTCAAAATTAGGGGCATTGACAGATAGCCTTTGTAGCTTTGCCATAAATATAAAATACAAATTCCATGACAAAAGTTTAGACAAAAATATTTCATCAGTGTGTACCATAAATACTAAACTATCCTACAAAGAATTAACAATGACTGAATAATCTTGTTTGAGCAAGTAATAACCTGAATGTTAAATAAAATGTTATATACTATAATAAACATTTGTAAGGGCAATGTTGAAACTAAATAGGGAATGGGATTGTAAAAACCAGTAAATGAACTTGGATTTCGACCAACACTAAGTAAATTTGTAATTGTATCTATATAGTTAATGAGAAAGAATCAGAACAAGATTAACTCAACAGAAGTTGAGTTAGTATTCAAGCTAAGGAGATTTTGTGTAAAAAAAAGCAGACTTTTGATTAATATCTTTGATGCATATCAATTATACAGCAGCAACAAGTTAACCAATCAGACTTTGAATTTGTTTAATGATTACATTCTCAAAGACTAAAACAGCTCAAACTTAATGTATAATTATATAGAGTAGTCCAAAATTATCTTTCCTATTTCAAAATTTAACAATTAATTAAATAAGGAAATACAACCATGCAGTTTTCATCATCTTGTAGCCCAACTCAAACAGTTTCTACTGACATGTCGGTGGGCTTCTATGTGTGCACCATTAGTGGTTCTTGACACATCTAACCAATATGCAATTTCAGTCCACAGTTACAGTGGCAATGTCATCCCTTATCCTGGTCTTTAACTTGATGATGTTTGCTATAGGTGTGAGATATACTTAACATACCCTCATACTTTTTTCCTGTACTGATGTTTATAATTATACTGCACCACAGTCACTGACTTGGTCTCAGCAATCCAAATGATGCATTGAGCCTTTTCTCGCATGATTGCCATTTTATGGGTTAATACTACTCAGTGGAGTGAAAATAAAACATGCCACTAACAATTGTTTGAGTTGAGTTACAACATGTTGAAAATGCATGATTGTATTTCCTTAGTTATTTAATTATTAAATTTTTAAATAGGAACGATAATTCTAGATCACCCTGAATATTGAAAATCTATATAAGTCGTTCTTTAAAGTTATTAAGTCCTACAGCATAGCTTTTATTGTTGTTAGAAATACATTTGGTTAAAAGTAATATGTTTTTGATTGTGGTAATAGACAATTATCTTTTATTACAGGTACCTGTGTGCAAGCTTAGAACATACTACCTAAAATACCTTTAATTAATGTTTAGCATTTGCATAAAAGTAACACCCAGACACATAGCAGTTTTAATTTTATCTAATTAATTTTTTGTCTTTGAAAGTGTATTACTGAGCTGACACAATTACTTTTTCTTTTTTTTTGCAGGAGTGACTTCATGACATTACCTTTTCAAGCAGCTGAGTTCTATCTTGCAAATGTGAAGCCTGTAGATGGTTAGAATCTTTAATTTTTATTGTTAAAATTTAAAACTAAATTTTTTAGTCTGATGATGGAAAATACAGCCAACCAACCAACTTTTCAGAATATGCATATTCTATGTTTAGCAAATTTCTTCAGTAAATACAAAACAATAATTACAAATAATAACCTGAATGTTGAATATAAGTTTATTTACTATGACAAACACTTGTAAGGATAATGTTGAGACTTGGAAGGGGTGGGATTATTAAAACCAGTAAATGAACTTGGACACGGACCCACACTAAGTAAATTAATAAATGTATCTATATAGCTGATGAGAAATAATTAGAACAAGCTTAACTCAACAGAAGTTAAGTTAGTATTTAAGCTAAGGAGGTTTTATTTAAAAATAAACCTCTCTTGAATGAAAAGTTCCAAAGTTGTGTGGCCCATAGCTAAACTGTAAAGTCTGTTGATGAAATTTGGTGTCTAGGAGTTTGTCTGTATGTTCTGTTAGCAAGAGGTGCAACGAGGTGATGAAGAGTGACCAGATCTGTACAAAACCTTTGTGTTAATGGATGCATACAGTTAAAAGGTGTTTAGTTTTGTAGCTAGCTTTGCAGCTACTCCACATGTATAAATAATTGATCCATAATCAAAGTGGGATCAGAATATAGTCCTTTGAATGTAAAAAATGTTTTATCTTATACATTGATTTAAAGACAATTTATATTTGTTTGTGTTATTTATGTAACAGTTTATTGAGTTTATATGCAATAGTTAAGTCCTGTTTATCCAAGTAAGGAAGACATAAATATATGGGTCATTCAGTTACAGTACTCTATTTAATATTGCTAAGATAATTGAATTTTCCATTCAAAAAATCACAAGTGATGATTTGAAAAAAAGGTCTGATATTTCTATAGTTGTTTTCAGTTTCACACGTAAGTTTTAAGAGCTTAAGTATTCTACGTGCATGAGTTTTAGAAGGAAATATTATTGTGTTAGTTGAAAATTGTTAGTATATGTATTTGTGTTTTAACATACTACTATACACTAACTCAACATTCACACAAATATTTTTATAGAATAAAAAAAAACTGTCATGTGATATTTTAGGTGATTTCTTGGGCCCCATAAATGCAGAGATACAGCCATATTGTGAGTGATTATGGGTAAGGATGTTTCTAATTTTTAAAGAAAGGGGCATGATGTATGATACCAGTCTACTGTTTTATAAAAGATATTAAAAGAGTGGCAGCAGCAGCATTTGAAAAATGAAATAATTTGTACCACCAAGTGGTAGTGGCTCACTGAGAGAAGAGAGAATGGCACAGGCTTTTACAGCGCAACACGTCAGATTGCATCCAGATTTACTGGGTTTTTTCAACATTGGTAAGGGTTCACCATCTTAAATCATGCATGGGATATTAAACAAATAACCGTATGGTCTCTGATAACCAATCTGAAAAACAGGTTAATCTTAGATTCAATCAGGAAATAACTTTAGTGGTGCTTGAACTGTGGATACTGATGGAAGCACGTGATGGTATTTGTTGGGTCTCATTTTTATTATACTAATGGGACAACAATGCTATGGAAAATACCACATATGAAACTTAATCATGCTTGTTTCAGGGCTTGAGTTCTTTAGTCATTTTAAAAGGGCAAATAACATCCAGAATGCATCTGAATTGAATTACCTATTGTGTCTACCCCAGAATGCAACATTTCAGATGAACAAGGGATCTCCCATGACAATAATCAAACAATTCATCCCACAGGCATTCTCTGAAGTGGGTTAAAAAGTATGACAATTTACCCTAACCATATAAATTTATCAAATTTCTAAATCCATCGCCATTATGTAAATTTTTTTTGTTACATTATTTATTGTAGGTACACCTATACAAATAAAATACAGTATTTCTTAAAATATTGTTTTTCTTCCAAAGCAGTATTATATACTGCTAAAAATCACTAAAGCATTTCTACTTCAGAAATGTGAACAACTAACAAAAAAGTAGTTTTGCCACGTTTTAGTTACAAAATTTTTCCAGAAAGCTGCATTTAATGCAGTAGATAAATATAATATTTTTTTATTCCAGAATAACTATTTACATGTTTTTATGCTGAATTTCAGATGTTCTATGTTAGTTGTGTTCTTGGTACAACTGTGTTCTGTAAGTGCTAATTCTTTCTCAGTTTTCATAAAATAATATATATTTGTTTAAGTAGGCTTGAAATGTATTATATTGTATTGTAATTTTGCTTTTTTGTTATGATAGAAAGATCGAAGTTTACAAATGTCTTGGTCATTATTGCAGTCTATTAAATTTTTTATTTTTTGTTTACAGAAGAACTTGGCTGGTCTGTGGAAGCATGTAATACTTTTGAAGAAATTGCTCAAGGACAGATTTTGAAAGCAATAATTGTTGCTTATGCTGAAGATGAAATTCCATGTGTCAATCTTTATCGTGTGCAGGGAGTCTCAGTAAGTTATTCTGCTTTTTTGTCATGTTATAGTAGTTTATCCATGCAATCAAGCAACCCTTTCAGAATGGGTATGATAGTTTGAGCTAATACCTAGAAAATATTTGTCTTTAAAAATCAGTTTAGAAATTATACGTAATAACTCTTACTTAAAATATTTTAATAAACTAATATTAGGCATTTAAACACATAGCTTAAGTTGTCTATTAGAAGCTATAGAGTCTATGCTGGTAAGAAACAAGAAAAGAGTGACTGGCATTATGGACGCTGCTGCCAGGAGAAAGAGAATCAAGACTACTTGTCAAATTCAATACAAGAAAATGTGATTGATTAGTGCACGACTAATGGTTGGCTCAAATTAGCAAATGGATCAGCAGTGCCAATAGTAATGGGAGCATGTGACAAATATCAAGAGATGCCAACAGATAAATTCAATGATGAATAAACAGCACACACTTTACTTGTTTTCAAGTAATA